AGCGTGATATCGATATATAGTAGGCTGAATTTGATAACTATAACACTACTGTATAATAGTGTGAGTTTAATATATTAAAGTCATTAGTTTAATAAATTGGTTTCACACTCAAATTCTTCGGCACATTATAAGAATGTAATTTCTATATAAGTTCAATATATTGGTACCACATTGACCTTTTCCGGTCTACTTCCTAAGATGAGAGAGATAATTTGAACCCCTTGCACAATAAGTTGAAGAAGAAGAAAATCATAATCACCAAAGCACACCACTTTTTAAAGAGCTTATTTAAAAATGTTAAACATACAAATTATAGCTAGTTGTTGACTAATATATATTATAAATTATAATATATATTTTTTGTAGCATGACTCGGTGGAAGAGGAGGTGGAGGTTGGTGGGGGAAGCTAACTCAGGCGAGCACATTATGTCATGATGTAGTGGATGTCTATTAGGCACCACCTAGACCAAGAACATACCTCCAAATAAGTCGATATATTTAATTTGATTGATTTTGATGATGCGAAAGAACAAGGGTCATTACACTCATTAAGTAGAAATCATTTGTTATTAAACAACTAAACGGATCATTTAAATACGTTTGACATTCTTGCGATCACTTTCACTTTCATGCATGCAGACCACAAGATGCTCCAGCTAGCTAAGTACAATTATAAGAATAAACTTCCAACTGACGCTTTAAATTATTATTTAGTTGAAATCAATGTTTTAAAAGACACTAAGTACTAGTCGGACAGCAGGTTGTAACCTAGTTAGATGGCTAGGTAGGGCCTAGACGGACTAAGTGAATTCAAGTAAATTTATTATATATTATATAAATAAATGCCTATTTATATTTTATAAAATACATAATTATATTGGGATATATAAATTGCAAAATAAAATTATATATAAATTATAAAGTATTTAAAAAGATTGAAAACATGAGAAACAAACATATAATGAGTGTTCATTTGAATATTCAACAAGTCTTTTACATTTTATTGAAAAAATAAAATGTAAAACGAATATTATCGATTTTTCTGCATAAGCAAGAGTCGCGACCTAGGTGGGTGCCTAGCGGGTTTAGATAGGGATAGAAAGACGCCTAAGTAGGTCTAAACGCTCTTTCTTGGTTTTGAAACACCTATGGCTTAATTAAGAAGGTGACCAGTTACCTAACGCCATTATCCCCATGCATGGATGAAAAAACAAAACACAACTTGCTTGTTAGATTGTTGACAAAAAAAAAACAACTTGCTTGTTAGATTCAAGATAGATCGTACTCTACTCTCCATTGTCCCCATGCATGGATGAAAATCATGAAATGAATGAACTATTTCGCTTTATTAGGTCAATCAATCAACTAGAGGACAAGCATTATTGGCTGAAAAGAAATGAAAATAAAAGGCATGAGGGACAAGAATAATTAGGAAAATGAGGATGAGTCCCATCCCTCCAGAGTCGGACTTGGGCCCTCACCCCCTCAACTTCAAACCACAGTATCATCTCATGAATCCTATCCTTCTTCACTCCTTCTACGTAAGTACCATGATGTACAGCCTAAAAGGGCAGCACTTAATACAAAACAAGAAAATGGACGGCTTATAAAAATGGCTGGCTTCAAACCAATAAAGTTTTCCGCCTTACAAGAGTTGGGGAGGAACGTCTATTTTGCGTAATCTTATTCTTATTTTGTATAAAAGTTACTTTCAAAACTTGAATCCGTGACCTTTCGGTTATAGATGAGCAACAATTTTTATTTAAATGTTACCAAAAACACATTTAAGAGATTGTATTGTACTATCTCCTTATATAAGTCAATTTTATACGTATTAATGATATAGTATATTTTCCATTTGATTATATATTTGGTTTGCTTTTCGTAATTATTTGTATTTCATTCGGCATTATTTAGTTTGTATGTATATTCCGATCGAACTCATTGTCTCATAACTTTGGATGCATAACTAAATGTTCTTAACAACTTAAACTACAAATTCGTCAAGCTTTACAAAAGCATGTATTTAAATCCTATTTTTTCTCAATATTATTTGTATAAATAAATTACATAAAAACCTTGATTATTTGAATTCATTTTTCAAATTGGAAATAAAATAAAATCTAGGGCCACCTTATCTCTCTCTCTTGGTTGTTTTTTCCCTGAAAAGAGGCTACAACATTAGTTTAGATTATCTTGTTAAGATCCTTTGTATACAAACCAAAAAAATAGGTAAAATCAAGCTCCTGGAAGGATAGACGATGAAGCACGTGCAACACATGAAGCACGTGCGCCGGATAAGTCACGATTTTAGGTTGCACTTCCCGTGAGTCATGACAATGTTTAAGTAATTAACACAATTTAAGCTGCATATCGTCAAAATTTAGGGTGCAGGTTGGGTGGAAATTTTTTCTGTGATAATTTTCAACTTTGGACACACAATAATCAACCCGGCATTCGAAATTTCAAAACCCGAAAATTGAATTTTTCTTGAGCTCGGATGTACCTAAATATTTCGAAGTGAAGGAAAATACGTGGACAATATAAATGGAGTAATATAGAGTACGTGTAGCTGTTGGGTTTCACATATGGGACAACTTACTCTATTACCGTGAAATAGTTGAAGTTTTATCATAAAATCATATGAGGTCACATACAGAATTCATTATTTTTTTTTATGTAGAATTCATACTTTCAATACGAAGTGCATTATGCTTTCTAAGTTTGGACTACCTAGAATGATTCCTTCATGAATAAAATGATTCTTTCATGAAAGCCGCTTTTATTGCTTATTGTGGTATCAAATGATAGTTTTTTCATGAGATCCAAAAATTTGAGTTGTTGGCAAGTGGCCCTGTGGGTGGAATCATGTGAGGTCACATGCAAAGTTCATTATTTTTCGGATGTGAAATTCATACTTTCAATACGAAATGCATTGTGCCTTCTAAGTTTGAACTACCTAAAAGGACATACTTCATGTTAAAATGATTTCTTCATGAATAAAATGATTGCTTCATGAAATCCGCTTTATTGCTTATTGTGGTATTATTGATAGTTTTTTCATGAGGTCCAAAAATTTGAGTTGTTGGCCTGTGGGTGGGAAGGAGTGTTGTCTTGAACCACGATATGAGTTCGAACTCCGTCGGCTTCCTAACGATAGATTTGTTAGATTATATGTTAGATGATGGAACCGACAGGTTTCTAACCACATTGTAGTACAAGGGCAACACTCCTCTCTCCACCACTATGGGAGAGGACCACTTGCTCTTATTTTTCAACTTTAATTAAATATCTTGATTTATGCATCTTTACTGAAATTTTTAATTTGAATATCTAAATATGAAAATCTAACTACTTTCATTAAAAATAGTTAAAAGAAAATTTATATGCTATACCCATAGGTCGTTAAAATATGTTTAACATGTGATGGAAGTATCTACGAAAATAAATAAAAATTAATCTTCCTATAATCCATGAAAATCATCTTCCATGCATTTATAAAGTCATATTAGTATATATGCTGATTTATGTAGTACTTACAACATAGAATAGTCAACACAGTTAACACGTGATGGGGCAAAACAAACAATTGAGATGCAAATTAGGAGGAAAAAAACAGGAGAAACAATATTTAATTCTTATATTAATCCTAAATTGAGTAAAAGATAAACCGATAAATAAAGGTGATATCTATCACAATTTAATAAAAAGATATTTATCACAATTTACTAAAAAGATAATAAAAAAAAGAGTTGATATTGATAATCTGTGAATAAACCTAACCCAACAAAGTGGAGTAAATTAAAAAAAACAAACTCACAAAATTGAACTTATATCGAGTTTATTCTATAATTCTAATTAATCACTTGTTCCTTGTTTTATGAATCTATGGGTATGAAGATTCAACTAGAGGGATAAATAGTAAATAATTAACAATAAAAAAATTTTTTTTTTTTTAACTTTGGGTGGTAAGTACAATTAGGTGTCAATAACAACACTCCAAAAAAAGGATTTGTGAAAGGTAGGGGGTCAGATAGGATATATTACAAAAAGGGGGGGTCTTATACCAAAAGATGTTAATCTTATGGCCTTATCATGCAAAATATCAAAAATATGCTTGTTGGTTGAATGTCCAATTGTCAATTAACAGCAGATCTTCCTATCACCCCCACCGCCCACTTATCTTATTGGTTCTTCTGATAAGTGACCATTGGCTAACAACCCCATACCCTCTCGCTTTACATAAGAAAAGGAGAAAACTCCAAATCTCTCACTTTAGCCCACTACTCACGTTTACTCTTTATCCACATAAAGAAAGTAAAATTATGAAAGAAAAAAAAAACAATAGCAAAGTCTGCTAATTCGGAACTTAATTTAAAGGAACTTAATTTGAAAATCATGTTTCGACATAAAATTTTAACATAAAATGTTTAATTGACCTAAAATATGGTCAAAGTGACATCTTAATGAGTGAATTATTCTCAACAAATAGGAAATAAGTCGTCATAAATACATTTCACTCTCGCTAACTAATTGGAAACAACTACCACTAGTTGAAACGTAACTCAGTGAAGACGACTACCGCTAGCCGAAAGCTGAGTAAAAATAAATAAATAAAGTTGGAATTTCATAAAAAGAAAAAAGAAAAAATGGAAGCGGCGTCCTATAAATAGGACACTTGCTCTTCCTCCCTCTCTCTCCTTCGCCTCAGATCACTCCCTCTGTCGCTTCCTGTCTCACGGACTCGCCCCCTCACAAGGATTCAGTCAAACGCCCGCCGCATTTGTAATCCTAGATTTCAGCAACCGTCGAGAAAATATCTTATTGATTTCTCAGCAACCGTGAGATCATTTTTCTCCGACTTTCTCGGCTTTTCTCGCGGTGGTTAGTTACGGGGAGGGGGGGAGAGTGGCGGCGAGCATTTCAGCACGCGCTGTATGTCAGTAGATTGTATAGAGACTTACTTTGCTGGAATTGGTGAGCTCGCGAACCCCTTGCAATGGCCTCAGCTTCGAAAAAAACGACGCCTTCCTGTTGCTTCCGCCCCGATTCGGCGGCTCTCGTTCCGCGCCAGGCGGCGCCGGCGGCGAAGACTTCTTCCAGCGCCGTCGTCTCGGCTTCCGGTATTCAAGATTGGAGTAGCGTCGCTGGCGCCGAGGATCGGCGCGATGATCAGCGCCCCAAGAATATCGCCATGGCGGCCTTGATTCCCAAACCTTCCGCCAATGCCTCCACTGCAGGTCCATTCACATTTCCCAATTTTATTTATTTATTGTATGTATGTATATATATATATATATATATATACACACACACACAGACGCATATATATATGTTGTAAATATGGATTCTTTGAGTAATGTATGGCCGATGAGATGTGAAAATTTGAAATTTCTTGAATTCTTGATTTGTGTTTGCATAAAATGTAGGGTTCTTTTGTATTTTTGTATACTTTTCGATAAGTCTTTTTCGTTTCTAAGTTTGGTGAGACTCGTTTGTGTGGCATTCTTGTGACTAGTTTGTCTCTGTGCTGTTTGGAGCTAAGAGTAGTGGTCCTAGTGGAAGTAGAAGTAAAAGAGAAAGAGTAGATGTTAAACAAAAAGACAGAGAGAGAATGCCGAAGAGAAAGATGGATTATGACACCTGAATATAATTCGGGAACAAGCTAATTTCTTTCTCGAACTTTTCTTGAGTAAATTGGTGTGATGTACTTTAATTTTGAATGTAAGTTAATGTTTTACAATAAATAGATTAAAAAATAGGAATTTGTTTCGAGATTGTCAGTTTTCAATAGCAGGATATTTCATATAAATTGCAGACCATAATCATTTAGGAAGACAAAGGAAAGAATTCAGGTCATAAGATGGTAAGAATTTTTTAATTTTCATGAGCTCCTTCATTTACTAAAGAGTGAATTTTTCGAATAACCTCGGAGAATTTGGAATGTAAAAAGCTGAAGACTTTCGCATCTTTTTGCAATGTTCTTTGTCTTGAACTAATTAACTTTATGCTGTCTGATTTTCATGGTTTGTTTTAAGTGATTTAAATACTGAAATTTTCTGTTTAACTTGGTTGGTCAACTAATATCATGTAGGCATCCCAATCATGCTTAGGCCTCAAACAAGGCACCCGTTGGACCCTTTATCTGCTGCTGAAATCTCTGTCGCAGTGGCAACTGTCAGGGCAGCTGGAGCGACGCCTGAGGTTTGTTAGTTTCACTATTGAATTCTTCTTCAACAAATGGAATTCTTATTTGGTGAAATGGTTGACTAAATAACACTTTCTGCATTCCAGGTTAGAGATAGTATGCGTTTTGTTGAAGTGGTTCTATTGGAACCAGATAAACACGTTGTTGCATTAGCAGATGCATACTTCTTCCCACCTTTCCAGCCATCATTACTTCCCAGAACCAAAGGTGGACCTATAATCCCAACCAAGCTTCCCCCTCGGCGAGCTAGACTTGTTGTTTACAATAAGAAGTCAAATGAGACAAGCACGTGGATTGTTGAGCTATCAGAAGTACATGCAGCTACTCGAGGTGGACATCACAGAGGAAAAGTAGTATCATCAGAAGTTGTTCCAGATGTTCAGCCTCCCATGGTACTTTTCTTTTGTGTTTCCTTTTGACATTTAAACTTGTTTGTACCCTTATATGGTCTTTTTTTTATTTTATTTTTTATTTTTTATGTTCATGAAAGATTAATTTTTTCATGAACATAAAACCTCTCCCAGACCCTGCGTAAAGCGGGAGCCTTGTGCACTGGGTACGACCTTTATGTTCATGAAAGATTAATTTGATGTTTTGGACTTTTAGCTGAGAAAACACCATGAATAATAGAATAGATATCGATTTTTGTACCAGTGATAGTGCACTATTTGAACTGGCATTTGCTAATGGACTTGTGATGTATGATAAGCTTTAGTTGTTCCATAGCTGTCTGAAGTTTGAGGTTTCTGTAAGTTCTTAACTTTTAATTTTCTGGAACTTCAGGATGCTGTAGAATATGCAGAATGTGAAGCTGTTGTGAAAGACTTTCCTCCATTTAGAGAGGCTATGAAGAAGAGAGGTATTGAAGACATGGACCTTGTGATGGTTGATGCCTGGTATGCAATTTACATTTAGTGCTCCTGTACATGTGGAATTTCAGCAGGTTAATCGATAACCTTCTACTTACATATTGGTGTTCATGCTGCAGGTGTGTTGGCTATCATAGTGAGGCTGATTCTCCTAGCCAAAGGCTTGCTAAACCACTGATATTCTGTAGAACTGAGAGTGACTGCCCTATGGAAAATGGTTACGCACGCCCAGTTGAGGGCATCTATATACTTGTTGATATGCAAAACATGATGGTGATAAAGTTTGAAGACCGTAAACTTGTTCCCCTACCTCCAGCCGATCCGTTGAGGAACTATACTCCTGGAGAAACAAGAGGTGGTGTTGATCGAAGTGATATAAAACCTTTACAAATTATTCAGCCTGAAGGTCCAAGCTTCCGTGTTAATGGGTACTTTGTGGAGTGGCAGAAGGTAATTTCTAAATTGGTTTCATAAATAATATTTTTTCTTTATTAAAAGTCGATATATCAACTAACATTCTGGTTGGCAGTGGAATTTTCGTATTGGATTCACTCCCAGGGAGGGACTGGTTATATATTCTGTGGCCTATGTTGACGGCAATAGAGGGCGAAGGCCTGTAGCCCATAGGTTGAGTTTTGTGGAAATGGTGGTGCCATATGGAGATCCAAATGATCCACATTATAGAAAAAATGCTTTCGATGCCGGGGAAGACGGCCTTGGTAAAAATGCACATTCTCTAAAGAAGGTTTGAGGACTAATTCTTGGCTCAGTTTTGGTATATGAATGTTTTCTTGATATTCTGCGTTTTCTCTTATTATTTTATCCATACTGGGTTGAATTAAACTACCATGACAGGGGTGTGATTGTTTGGGCTTAATCAAATACTTTGATGCACATTTTACGAACTTCACTGGAGGTATTGAAACTATCGAAAATTGTGTATGTTTGCACGAAGAAGATCATGGAATTCTGTGGAAGCATCAGGACTGGAGAACAGGCTTAGCAGAAGTGCGCAGGTCAAGAAGGCTAACAGTGTCATTTATATGTACTGTGGCTAATTATGAGTACGGGTTCTTCTGGCACTTTTATCAGGCAAGTTCCACATAACTTTCTCTCCTTTTCTTAGATCAAGTGTAGTGCTTGTTCTTTTCAGTTTAATTGTTAACTTGCCCAGTATAATACGAACATTTTCTCTCTAAGCATTAGTTCCAGCTCTTTTTGAGGGTTTTCATGTAGTACCGAGCTACCTGCCTAACAGTGAAATCAATATTGTGCTGTTTTCAGGATGGTAAAATTGAAGCTGAAGTTAAACTTACTGGAATTCTCAGCTTGGGAGCACTTCAACCTGGAGAGGTTAGAAAGTATGGTACTGTGATTGCACCTGGGCTATATGCACCAGTTCATCAACACTTTTTTGTTGCTCGTATGGATATGGCTGTTGATTGCAAGCCTGGAGAAACTTACAATCAGGTATGCAGCTGCTAAAAGTCTTACAATCTAGCATTGTGCTTTTGGCTTCGAGAATTTTTTCTTTTGGGTTATATTATGTAGTAGGCATGGAAATGCTTCCATGCTGAACTATTCACAAAGTTTATGCAAAAGCATATTACAACACTGATTATAAGAGTAGTCCATGGATGTCTGAGGGCCACACCTACACCCACAACATACTAATTAGAATATAATTGTGAATTTGCGTTTTGAGTTTAAAACTTCCTGCTTGCCCCAGTAATACCATGGGATCCTTATCCCCTCTTTAGAAACATCTTATTCTATCGAAACTGTAAAATCCACCTCCAAACCTGAATCTAAAATATGAAGCAGGAAAATATGATCATCATCCTGCTCTTATTGAATGGTTTATCTCTAAAACTACTCAAGCACATTTAATGATGGTTTATTTATCCTTAAATCCATTTTACAAAATAGAAGTTTGATAGGTTTATTACTTCATAAGAATTTACGTATTATTACCCACAGTAGTGATTAAATTGTGACTTTATCATTGCTTGTCGAAACAACTGTACAAGTCTTAAAATCAGTTTTTCTTCCATAATTATTTACTGTAGGTTGTGGAGATGGATGTTAAGGTTGAGAAACCTGGAGAGAATAACGTCCACAGCAATGCATTTTATGCCGAGGAGACACTTCTCAGGACTGAATCGGAGGCTATGCGTGACTGTAATCCTTTGACGGCTCGCCATTGGATTGTAAGGCATCGTTACCATGATTTTTTCAGCTGGTCCAGCTCAATGATTTCCTTCTGTTGTTTAAGATTCTCAGGTGTGATTCTTGTGTCCATTCATGCTCATGCTGATTTGAAATTTTGTTATGGTCCAGGTACAGAACACACGAACTGTAAATAGGACCGGACAGTTAACAGGCTACAAGCTTGTTCCGGGTTCAAACTGTTTGCCATTAGCTGGTCCTGAGGCCAAGTTTTTGCGAAGAGCAGCTTTCCTGAAACATAATCTATGGGTTACACCATATTCACGTGATGAGATGTTTCCTGGAGGAGAGTTTCCAAATCAAAATCCGCGTGCTGGTGAAGGATTAGCCACATGGGTTAAGAAAAATCGCTCTCTGGAAGAAACTGATATAGTTCTTTGGTTGGTTTCCCTCTCATAGTTTATCATGTCCATATCTAGCTTTTGCCTTTGTATATGTATACATATAACTGTTTTAAGCTGGTGGAAGTAACCGCGATGATGATTGCAGGTATGTATTTGGAATCACACACGTACCACGGTTAGAAGATTGGCCTGTTATGCCAGTGGAGCGCATTGGATTTATGCTCATGGTATTCACACGATTAATCTTTTTTATGCTCGGCAGTTTGTCATTTTATTGTCTGGTTTCTGATCCCGCATTTTTGGTTGATTATTCCGGTTGCAGCCTCACGGATTCTTCAACGCCTCTCCAGCAGTGGATGTTCCACCAAGTGCGTGTGAATTGGAAGCCAAAGAAAATGATGTCAAAGACAGTGGAGTAGCCAAGCCGATTCAGAACGGGTTGCTAGCAAAGCTCTGAAAAACACATGCTTTCTTTGACTACCTTGTTTCAAATTCATTGTTTTTCTTTAGATTTTTAGTATGATCGAGCTACGCGGGTTTTAAGTCTTGGCGGTTTCTGTTGTTCGTAAAGCACATAAACGATTACGAAATACATTCCATTTGTAATTAGTTTATGGTTTTCATATGTACTTCATATCCTTATTCTGAAAGATTGGTCCAGTATTTCAACCAGATTAACATATCTTACAAGGGGATAGGTTGAGTACAAACTTACTTTGGATGGGAGTTTTGGTTCGAGCCATATTCTAAATTCTGATTTAGTCTAAACTACGGGGATGAGAATTTGAACTTGTGTGTAGAGAGAGAGAGAGAGAATATTGCTCTATCCCACTCATATTTTCACTTTTGAATGTGAATTATAATAAAGTTGGTCTAGCACGCGACGGTCGAAAAATGTCTCAAATCCTATGAAGTACTTTAGAGCCAAAAGTTGATCAAGCTCATTCCAAGTTTAGAAAAAGAGAAAGGGGTGTGATATCCACACACCATTTTTTACTTCTCACAGTCTTCTAATTTTCGGCCATTGGATCAGATGAGTTGAAGAAGATCAAATGATAGAAATTAACAAGAGGTGTGTAAGAAGTAAAAAGGGGTGTATCACCCCAATAAGAAAATAGTAGCAATGATCCACAATTGTAACCTAATTGGAGCATTGGTTCTTCAACCAAAAAATCGTGACCATTGATCTCTTAACTCATTAGAACGTGCAACTATGATCCTTTTGTCAACTCCGCTACAACTTTTGTCAAAATGAGGTCGTGACTATTGATCTCTTAACTCATCAAAATATGCAACTATGATCCTTTTGTCAACTCCGCTACAACTTTTGTCAAAATGAGTCGTGATGGAAGGTCTATTGCTACAATTGAATTAAAGTTGAAGGGTTTGAGTGGACTAAAAGACCCAGAATACACGTCAATTTCATTCCCACATTTCAATTTCCCGCCCCACATTTAAGCTGCCGGGGACGACCAAGGGCGTGACAAAAATTTGAATCAATCGCAATTTCAATGACACCAGAAAATCTCCTAACCCGTCCTCCCATCGCCGATAAATTAACGCTGGGCTGCCCAGTCCTCGACCGCTGCCTCGGTGGCGGCGTCCCCTGCTGTTCAATAATGGAGCTTGTAGCTGAAAGCAGTTGCGGCAAGACTCAATTTTGCCTCCAACTCGCCCTCTCCGCTCAGCTCCCGCCCTCCCACGGCGGCCTCTCCGCCTCCTCCCTTTACCTCCACACCGAGTTCCCTTTCCCCTTTCGCCGCCTCCACCAACTCTCCCAAGCATTTCGCTCCTCACACCCACACCTCGTAGCCATTAACCCCTGTGAAGATGTGTATGTTGATAGTGTGCACGACGCATACCAGATGCTTGATATCATGCCAAAGATAGAGTCTTTCGTTGAAAGTGCAAAAACCCGGTTGCCTGTCAGGCTAATTCTGATTGATTCCATCGCGGCGCTGTTCCGGACTGAATTTAACAACACCCCTTTGGATCTTAAGCGGAGGTCGTCGCTGTTTTTCAAGATTTCCGGGAAGTTGAAGTCATTAGCGAATAGGTTCCGGGTGGCAGTGGTGGTGACGAACCAGGTGGTTGATTTTATGGGGGCAAGTGATGGGGTAAATGGAGTCAAAGTGGGCAACTTTGGCTCATTGCACTCTTCTGGAAGGCGGGTTTGCCCTGCTTTGGGACTTGCTTGGGCAAATTGCGTGAATTCGAGGGTCTTCTTGTCGAGAAATGAGGTGGTTGTTGCCGAAGGGAATAGTAATGAGCTGGAGGATGGTCTTTGTAGGCAAACAAAGAGGCGACTTGATATTCTTTTTGCGCCTCATTTGCCCCAAGCATCGTGTGAATTTGTCATCACACGCCAAGGAGTGTTTGGAGTTGAGTCAGCTGACAGATAAATCTGGCACTGATGGACGTGGTCCAGTACTTGCCTAAATTTTGAGTGTAGGCTTCTGCTAGCAAAAGTGAAGACTGGATTACTAGACCAATGGTAATTCACTTGTCATGGGTTCTGAGGCCAAGTTTTTGTGAAGGGCAGATTTCTGAAACATGATATTTGGGTTACACCATACGCATGTGATAAGATGTTTCCTGGAGGAGAGTTTTCAAATCAGAATTTGCGTGTTGGTGAAGGGTTGGCAGTGGAATTTTTGTATTGGATTCACTCTTAGGGAGGGACTGATTATATATATTATGTACCATATGTTGATGGCAGTAGAGGCAAAGGCGTATTGCCCATACATTGAGTTTCGTGGAAATGGTGGGATATGGAGATCCAAATGATCAACATTACAGAAATGTTGATGTTGGGGATGGGGATGATGTCCTTGGTAAAAATTCTTCTGTAATCAATTTAGATTCCGTTTATGAATATTTTATGATTCTTTGTCTTTGGTACAACAGTACAGCTTTAGCCTCTAGGATATTTTCAGAACTTGAATTAACGACTTTCTTATATGCGAACATACTTGCTCTTTAGCATCAGTTCCAACTCCGTTTCAGGGTTTTCGTGCAGTATTCACTTATCTTTTATGAGCTACCTGTCTGTTTTCTCGCTGTTCTATTTAGCCTACCGGTTAAGCCAATGTTATGCTGTTTGCAGGATGGTAAAATTACAGTTGAAGTTAAACTTCCAGAAATAATCACCTTGGGAGAACTGCAACCTGGAGAAATTAGATGTACGGTACTGCGATTTCATCTGGGCTATGTGTACCAGTTCATTAACATTTCTTTGTTGCTCGTATCCATACGGCTGTTGATTGCAAACTCGGGGAAAATTAGAATCAGGTATGCTACTTATTGTCTTACCATCAAGCTTTGTGCTTTTCGATAGATAAGCACATGAAAATGCCTCCATGTTGATTTATCTGCAAAGTGAATGCCAGAGCATATTACAACTTTGATTATAAAAGTAACTGATGGATGTTTGAGCACCCATTAGATCGCTGGTTAGATGATGAATCTGAATTATGTTTTAGTTTAAAGCGTCGTATATTACGCCAGTAATACCAGCTGCTCCGTATCCCTATAGAAACATCTTAATCTGTAGAAAGTGTGAAATCGACCTTGAACCTGAAAGTCTAAGATGTGAAGCAGGAAGATAGGATGAACCCTTCGTCATTTCTAGCTTTCTGTATAACTTCCACCACGATAACATGCTCTAAAATTACGCAAAAACGCATCATGGTCCTTGATACCGAAGGATCGAGGACTACGAGGTTAAGTGCGTAAAGCAGAAAATCATTGCAAAGAAAACAGAAATCCATTCATTCAAAACATATCTGCGATCCTTAATTATATCACGTTAACCACAGAGGGTGAAAAGAAACAGATAATCTAGAAAATGACATGGAACTAGATGTTGAATATGACCGTGATGGATCGATCAGTCCACCACGACGAGACTTAGATACTCTTTGCCGGAGATGGATGCTTCCATGACATGGTTCTGCCGGTCAACTTTCCAACCTTTTTCTTTGTCCCAAATATCCTTGAACGAAACTTGTCCAATCAGATTATCATCCCCTTTCTCTTCCTTAACCTTCCAGCTATTCCAGCCGTTGTAGCCGCTACAGGTGTACTTGTATAAGGGAGCCAAAACCTCTTTCCTCAGCCGGTCTACAACTCTGCTCTCGTAGTCTTCCTTGTATTCCTCCGCGTATGATGCTGGAGGGAAAACCTTCCGCGCAATGCTTTCCCACAGCAAAGTGGCCCGGGCAGCGTAGGATTCATAATGGTTTCCGGTAAGGAAACAGTCTGCAGCAGTGGTTACCTTGACATACTTCTAATCATCGTCACCATCAACATCATCATCATCGCTGTCATCGCTCACATAATATTTAAGGTAATCATGCTTGAATTGTCCCTTCAATTTTTGAATATCTGACTCCAAGCACTCCACAAAAACATCGGTTACACGGTCATGTAACAACTTATAATCCGCATCACCCTCGTACATCTCTACAGCCTTCTTGGTCAGTTTCTCGAGGGGCTTCAGTGTCCCCCATCTACCGTCTTGGCCTTGTAGGAGGCGGTGCAGAAGTTCTACAAGGCTATACAAACCCATACTCCCAAAAGAGGAGGCAATAGGCGCAATGTTGCACAATAGGGTCTTTGGGTGGTTTTGGTGGAGCCAAACCGCCGCCTGTAGAACGCTTGTTCATATGATTTTCCATTCCTATAGTCATTCAGATGACATATGAGCTTGAGGGTGGTTAGGGGATTGTCGGACCATGCCAGCGGCAGCAGTTGCTTGAGATAGTCACAGGAGGCCCCCACCTCCGCCTTTAAGGCTGGTGGATAACTTTTGATCGATGCGGTTGCAAACTCGTAGTGCCCGTAGTTGTCATAGTCAGCCGGTATGACGATGTTGAAAAAGATGTCAAGGCAGGGGTCGCCCGAGGAGAGTTGGAGGGTAGATTCAGCAGTACTGAATCCCATTTCCATTAGAGGGGTTCTGCTACTGCTCCTAGTGCTTGTTGCTGTTCTCTTGGCGGCTGGAGCTGTCCTGTTCCCGAATTTTGGAACCATCAGAGAGAGTGATCTGCTGGGAATTGTCAGGCTTGGAGGAACAACAAGAGTCGGAGAGTTTGGATAAGCCGTCAATCTCACTGCGAGTTGTGAGATTTTGCAGGCGAGGTTTGTATTTGCTGCTTTCATAACTGATGGGAGGATTTCCGTCAATTCTTCCACGAGGGGGAGAAGGGAATATTAGGGCAGAAATATAAACGCTGTTTACTTGGGTGCCAAGGAATTTGGCAAACCCTAAATTGTTGCTTATCCAATTCAAATCTATATTGATTAGACAAATGATACTATAAATTGAAAAAAAAAAAAAAAAAAACCTACATGGCACATGTCAATCCCTTAATATCGAGAAAAACTTGTGCAGGACTTGGCTTGCTATTGGATTATGCTGAGTGGCACCACCACACCATTCATAACTTGCCATGCGCTAAGCATATTGTTGCATTAGTATAAATTTTTATTTTCAATTTAAATCATAATTAATAAAATTAATAAAAAAGACTTTTTAAAAACACCTGTCTTTGAGGGAGTGTAATTACTGGTTGAAAGGTTCATTAAACCATCTTAAAGGTTCATTAGGCTTCTCACTAACCTCATTATTTATATAAATTATCGAATAATTATCAGGTGAAGAACTCAATTATCAAAGCCACCTTCACCAGTTGTTTGTAATTCCCAGTTTTCAAATATTATGACTATTGATGTGAAATTGAATTAATTAAAAGCAATCATGAGAGAGAAAGATGATAGATTGGGGAATCACGGAAGGGGGAGACTGAGTAGTAAGAGGGGGGAGGGGGAGGGGGAGGGGGGAGGGGGGTGGTGGTTTTGCAGATGGAGGAAGGTTGAACTGGGGTTGGGGGGTGGTTTTGGAGATGGAGGAAGGTTGAGCTGGGGTTGGGTCCGTTGGGGGTCGTTTTGCAGATGGAGGAAGGTTGAACTGGGGTTGTGAGTTTTATTTTAATAATTTTTTTTTAAACAATCGATATTATCTACAAGAGATCATTATAGACTAAAAATAATATAGTTTAAATTCACCGTTGACGAGCATCGAACATAAGACATCTCAATTACAAGTGAAGAAAAATAGCACTAGATCGTAGTACTAAATGACTTATTTTAATAATTTTTTTTAAACAATCGATAATATCTACAAGAGATCATAATAGATTAACAATAATATGGTTTAAATTCACCGTGGATGAGCATTGAACCTAAGACATCTCAATTACAAGTGAAGAAAAATAGCACTAGATCGTAGTACTAAATGACTTATTTTAATAATTTTTTTTTAAACAATCGATATTATCTACAAGAGATCATAATAAATTAACAATAATATGGTTTAAATTCACCGTGGATGAGCATTGAACCTAAGACATCTCAATTACAAGTGAAGAAAAATAGCACTAGATCGTAGTACTAAATGACTTATTTTAATAATTTTAGTTTCTTGAAGAAATAATATTTTTTTCCAATTTAAGCCGTACATAAATTTTTCCCACTATGTCGTGGCAATGCTCACCACCTAAGAACCAATTCGAATTCCAGATAAGGATTCAATTTCGGCCAAAGTTTTTATTGATCCACGTGCACCGACCAAATTAACATTACACAACTACCCAGATCACAAGTATTGTCTAATTTTCTCTCTGTTTGTGAGAGTTTTTCTCACCTTTGTGTGTGAGTGCCTCCAATCTTTACCGATCCTCATCGTCGTCGGTCCTAGCTATGGCTAGGATTGGTGGCAACACCATGGTTCTCCTCTGCTTTCTTTTTTTCCTTTTTCTTCCTGTTGTTTGCTTTCTTACTTTTCTTGTTTCTGCCCAGTTTTTCTTCTGCTGCCATCAACCCTCTGCTGCTCTGTTTTCTTTTGATTTCACCATCTTTAATCCCAAATCCATAACACCCTTTTACCTCTCCATCATTTTCATCAGTGGGCTCCATCATCTTTCCATCCATCTATAAGTTCGATCGATTACCGTTACTGTTCTTCGCGCTTTGTCACGGTATCTTGGGAGGGTGTGTAGAGTTTTAGCTCTGGTGTTCGCACCACTACCCTTGTGGACCCTCGTGGGTCCTTCCCGCTGTTCGTCCTCATTGTCGTTGTTGCCCATGGGATCTATATTCCCACGATCTTCCTTTAGCTACGTGGACTGTAGCTTCTGTATGTTGTGGCGGTGATCGTTGTTGTGGTGGTTCTGGGAGGATGTTGCAACCTCTCTCTTACGCCATTTTGGGATTACTAATGGAATAATTGCAAGTAGTTAAGGGGGTCGCAAGATCGAGAAGTTAGCAGCGCACCCAACGCAACATCAACAAATTTTACTCCTCAGCCGACGAGTTGGCATGCCCCGCATACAATCGAATGACGTAGTTAGCTTACTAATTACTCGGCCTGCGCGCCACGTAGGCTTGGTAGTTTTTAGGGTCAACATTTTGGCACGCCTAGTGGGACCCAATGTTAAGACTACGAAGTTCATGACCATCGAGACACGATCAGTAAAAAAGAAAACAACCATGGGAAAATCAGCGATCGATTTGCCGATTTAAAGTCATGGACAAGAGGTGTCACATGCGCGAAATCCTATCGTCACTGTGACCCTTGAGGCTACAAGTGTGACACACCGAGAAAATAAAGTGTGTCTCGGTGCCCAGCCTCGAAATACAGAAGTACCCAACCGAACCACATGCGTTTTCTTTGAAGGAATAGTGAAGGACTGCGATGAAGACAGTGGTGAAGGCTTTGATCTTCTGATTATGTCGTTTCTTCGAAGACCACTTGACAAGCAATCTCGACAAGTTGAACAGACAGTGGGTCACAAAATGAACCATTTGCTTGAAGTGATACAAAGCAATGGTGAGACCCAAACCAGATTGCTCGACCTATTAGTTAGTAAAGTCTTCAAAGAGAAACCTGTTTATCAGGCTCGGCAGCTTCCACTTAAAGGTAATTCCCTATAGGCCGAAGTAGTATCTACTCGGTCCAAAACGATTGACTTAGAAAAATGGGGAGGATCAAGTAGTAGGTCAGATGGATCCGACCAAAGAGTGGAAGCAACACCCGTCGATATGACCGAGGTCCAACGGATGATCTATTCGGCCATGAAAAAAAGGCCGAAGTTCCCTAAATTCATCCACCCATATCTAGCTTATGTGGAAAAGTTTGAATATCTTAAAGGTTTCAAGATACTAGATTTCATCCTTTTTGCTAGAGAATCGTCATTATCCTCGTTAGAACATTTGGCTCATTTCACTGCGCAATACGGAGATGTTAATAGTGATTTTCACAAACTACGGTTGTTTAACTTTTTGTTAACAGGCTCAGCATTTGCATGATATATCAACCTCCCACTTAATTTTATCCAAAGCTGGGAGAAGTTGGTCGAGAAATTTCACGAACAGTTTTATCGGCCAGGGATGGAAATGTCAGTTTCTTCATTGGCTAGGATGGCTTAAGCATCTGATGAGTCACTAATGGATTATCTTACTAGATTTAAATCGGCCAGGAATTGGTGCCGAGTACCTCTCCCCGAAGTCGAATTTGTTAGGCTTGCTCTGAACGAACTTGACTTGGAGTATAAAAAGAAATTCTTGGGGGCAAACTTTCGGGATATGTATGAATTAGTCCAGCATGTTGAGCAATATGATTATTTGCTCCGAGGAGAGAAGATCTCGTAATCCCCATCCCGAGGAACGATTTACAAAAATCCCACGGTCAGCTACGCATCGACCGAAGGCGAAGATTCTCAATACATCAACGTGGACGCGATCGAGATAGTAATAGATAAACCATATGTTTGCAAGGCATTGACTTAAATTAATTTCAAAGATGCCAAAACCCGCTCGGCCACTGAAGAGACGGCGAAAACATCGAAAATCTACTCTTTCGATATCACAAAGGCCGAGGTAATTTTCAACCAATTGTTATTAGCAAAGATCATCAAATTTCGGCCAGGACATAACATTCTCAAGGTCGAAGAGCTTAAGGGAAAGATGTATTGCAAGTATCATAACTTGACCAAACATGCCACAAACAATTGTGTCGTATTTCGTGATGATATCCAGAGTTGGATTGACAAAGGCAAGCTAAAGTTTCCCGAAAAACAGATTACGATCGATGCTAATCCATTCCCTTCAGCAACAGTTGTCATGGTAGACGCCCGGTTGCCCAAGAGCAAAGGGAAGGGGAAAGCCGAATTCATCCTAGTACAACATATCCCAAAGAAACATTCCCAGCCATGACTTAAGATCGACCTATTTTCCAATGAACCACCAACCGAGTTTTCGAGACCGACCATAGTTGAATCCATGTCATATTCCAGCGAAGAAGAAAATGATGGGCTGATAATTTTGTGCAGCAATGAGAAACTGCCTCAGACTCGGACGCCGACATCATGACAACAATCTACGACCACAACGGCATCTCCAAAGGAACCTAGTGAAAGCCAGCGCCAGAAAGTGTTCGATAGGCTCGGCCCTCAGAAACAGATGGACGACCCTACCTCGGTCAGACAACACCTTGATTTTGACGCACTGTTTTATAACGAGGATTATTATTCGCATAATTCCAGTAGTTCAAGCTCATCAGCGAATCCAAAAACCTTCAGGCCGCTTGAACCACTTGACCAACGTTGGTACAACTACAATTCTCCCACCGGCATGTATACCGCGTTTTCTAAATCTCAGAAACATCGACGTCAGTGTATAGATTACATGGCTCGACGACAGGTGGCCCAAACTATTTCGGCCACTAAATGGCAACCGAAAGAGGCGGTAGGGAGCGGAGATGATCGGCCAACCCCAAAATCATGGCTGAGTTACAGGGGCAAAAGGAAACTAATCGCGACTTTGAAACTACCATCAAAGAGTCCAAGAAGCACATCAAACTCCTCATTCTGCCTGAGAAGATGAAAGCTCGCTTCGATCAATTTAAGAAAAAGGCCGAAAGCCAACTGTCCCCGTTACCTTTGAAAGAGCCGCTAATAAGAGTTCGACGGAATCTACACCCCCTATTCCTTGGCGAATCTTTGGAATGCATGAAAGAGTTTCACAAGTATGCCAACGACTTGTACGGCTTACCCAAGGCGTGCCAAGAAGCTCTTGACCTGACACTAACTTTTCCCGATGCTGAACAAATTATCCAAAAAACCACTGATCCAGCGATGAAAGCTAGATTCCAGCACATATGAGAGGCTAAGGTTCTCGGTTTCGTAATCGACCCATACACGGACATTGACATAGCCGAACTCCCTTTTTCTCTCGGAGACCTTTAACACTTTCGATATCACTTTGAAGTCTTCTCAGCTGTGTCCTTATTCGATTTAACGGTCGATGAGAAAGATCAAGTGGCACATCTGGACGCCCACCTAAATACAAGGGATGCTTGGATCGCCTATGAGGAACGAGCTCGTAAGACACTGCAGGGGCAAAACCAGACGCCAGGTGCATGTGAGCCTGACGACGACAGTCAAAAGGACCCAAGGCTGGATTACATGGCACAAGAGCAAAAACATGTTGAGACACACAATAATCAGGTCGATGATGCTCTAACACACGATGCTATAGTCCTCAA